GCCCACCAGGGGGCGGGGCTGGCTGGCATGTGGTGCTGGGGGATTGAACCGCAGTCCCTGTGCATTGCTGAGCTTGTTCTAAGTAGGTGCTTTAGACCACTGAGCCATCTCACCAGCCCCATATGCTTGTTGTTCTTTTCTGAATTTCTTTCACTTTTATTTTTTCCCCTCATAAACATAGGAGTGATAAAGGTTAGTGAAAAAGAAGGAAGAAAGCCAGAGTCTCCATATCCAGGAACTATTTAAATCCACCAGTGTACAAGCTCTTTTGAAAGTGTACGTGTTGGGAGACTGGGTGTGGTGGCTTGTACCTGTAATCCCAGCTCTTGTAAACAGGCGGATCACTAGGAGTCCGATCTAGTAATGAGAGCCTAAACACCCTGTAGCCCCTTCCCTAAAATACACACAAAAAATGCACATGTTGGGGGCTGGGGAGATAGCTCAGCAGCATAATCACCTGCTTGGCAAGTGGAAGGTCCTGAGTTTGATCCCTGGTACCACATGCTGCGCTGCGTACCCCCCACCCCCGCACCCCAGCCCCAGGCATGGAAGCACACACCTGTAATCCCAGTGCTGGGGAGGCTAAGACAGAAGGTTCACTACAATACCCTATCCAGAAAATAAAGGTGTACACATTATTATTTAACAGTACGGCTACAATTAGTGTACTCAGAATAATTTCCCACCTAGCTCAGAGTTAAATCTAAAATTATATCCACTGTTTGTGTGAATTCATTTATTGTTTTGTTTTGTTTTTAAGATAGGGTCTTGCTGTATAGTCCAGCTCTTCTTGAACTTGGAAGTCCTCCTGCTTCAGCCTCCCAGGTGGCTGAAATTACAGCTGACTGTGCACCCTCATATCTTACCCATTCAACCTTTAACTCAGAAAATATAACAGGCCCTGTCCTAAGCATTGGTGATACGGTAAATGAAAGAAGGTCATTGTTCCCAGGTAGCTTCCATTTTAGTAGAAGAGAAAGACAATAAACAAGTGAACACAGTGTTTTGAGTGCTGGAACTTTTTTTCTTCCTCATTTTGAAACTAGGTCTTGGCTAGGTAGCCCAGGCTGGCCTTGTACTCCTGGCAGTTTTTCTCCCCCAGCCTCCCAAGTGCTAGAATTTCAGGAAAGCACTCTACGCTGTTTTATTTTTTGTGGTGCTAAGGTTAAAGCTTACAGGCTCAGACATGCTAGGCAAGAAGTGTACCATGAGCTGTAGACCACATGGGGGTCCATTTCAGATGGGCTATGAACTGGAAAAAAGAAAGAGGCAGGAGACAGAATGTTACTCAGGTAAGAGGAATAAGTGAAACAGTCCTGTGGGGAAGTTGAGAAACAGCTGTCATGGTTTGAAGAGCGGGAACCAGGGGTCAGGGGAGCTTGCATCTGATAGAGGGTGGGAAGGATTTGCCATTCCCTTCTAGGTATCTCTGAGGAGTTCGAAGAGAGCGGCATTATCTGATTAGGCGGGATCATCATCCTGCTTTGTATCATGTTACGTCCCAGTGCCTTACACTATTACGTCTTTTCTTATTGTAGCTTGTCCATGCCGAAAGACCTCTCACAGACAACCACAGATCACTGGCTTCTTACGGCTTGAAAGATGGGGATGTGGTGATTTTACGACAGAAAGAGAATGCGGACCCTCGACCTGCAGTGCAGTTCCCAAGTAAGACACAACCTAACATTTAGCAGTCTCAACACAAACCTCAGTGGGTAGCAATGTGTATGGTTCTGGGTTTCAGATTGGCTTTGGATTCAGATCCCCAGGATGTGGAATCTGCCTCTTTCTGCTGTGAAACCGTGGGCAAGTTATTTTGACTTCTCTAAATCTTTTCCTCTTCATAAGATAGGTGCCAGGTCCTAGAGCTGATGTGAGAATAACAGACGTCAAGCCTTCAGTGTGTAGCAGTCCTCAGTAAATATTTGCCTTATTGATACCAGTGCTAATTATATAATTCTGCCTGCGAATCACTTGAGACTGGGTAGTTCCTGTGGTTTTTGTCAGCAGCCGGTTTTGGAGGAGCATTTTTAGCCAGCCAGGCACTTGCACCCACATTTCACATGGTCTAATAACTTGGTTGTGGAGGAAGAGATCCCACCTTACAGTTATTTTCAGTAACAGATGGAGTTCACATTTTAAATAATTGTTAGTTACACGGCTGTAGTCCTAGCATTTGGGAAGCTGAGGCTGGAGGTTCATGAGTTCAAGGCCACCTGGGTTACGTTGTGAAACACTATCTAAAAAGAAAAAGTTATGGAGGGGCCGGGGAGATGGCTCAGTGGAATAAGCACTTGCCTGGCAAGCACAAGGGCCTGAGTTCAATCCCCGGTTCCACCAAAAAAAAGAAAAAGAAAAAGTTATGCACCTAGTAAGTGAAGACACATGAATTAGAACTTGGTCCATTTTCACCTATCAATCCTAAGCATCTGGATTTAAGAGGCTTCCATGCTCCTAAGTAGGTAGAACACAGTAGAACTGTGTGGGTGTGGTTGTGCCTTCAATGGCGAGAGAGTCCATAGCTT